TAAATGAAATAAAAGGATGAAAGAGTCCTCAACAATTAGTTAAGAAATTAATTTTAATTCCAGATCACTCGTAATATTGGGTAGAAGGATAGGTATATTAGAATCAGCCGGACGCATTCATGGTAAGAATCTAGTCAATGTAAATATTGGAAATATAACTGAGTATGTTAAAGAGTAGGACGCCGAAGAGCTTAAGTCTGGTTCTGCGCAAGCCTGGACAAGCTTACACATAAACAAGACAAGTACTGTTCGAGTGTTGGCGAACACGCACTACAGCAGATTTGATCTTAACTTATGCTGTCCTATAGTCCAGTATCCCGTTAAGACAAATATTAACCTAAATACTTCCGATTTATTTCTATGACTGCTTTATCATGCTGCAGTATTGAATATTCTAATAAGTATTTTAATGAGCAGAAATATGTGTTGGCCAAAGAAATATATAGAGTAATCAATATAGCAATATAAATTTAAAAAAAGATCCAAGGACCACTAATGAGGACCACTGTAACAATAATGGGAGAAAACAAAAATGGAAATTTAAAAGAATATGTTTTTTGTCATGCAATGCATTACTCATATTTATGCATTTTCTATTTTAAAATAACTTCTTCGTTATGTTTGACTTTGAAAAAATCTATTAATAAAGTTTGCTATTAAACTAAGCTAACGTAACAACCCCAATTCTTCACTAGTAAGATGGCAAACTAATCTAATAAATGCTAATTTATAATTTTATGAGATAATATATTTCTCAATAACATTCAGGAGAAGTAATATGAGTAGTTATAATAATGTAGTAGAAAATAAATTATACATAAAATAGAGAATAATTATTTGTATGCTTTTTTAAGTCAGTGACATTACATTAAGAAATATGCAGAACTTATAAAGATCAAAGAAAACAGATAAACCATCTGTTTTTCTAAATGTAAAACTAAATTAAGTTAAATAAATACTCAAAAGATGACTAAAAAAATTTTAAATTATAAATTTTTAATGAATGTTTAAAACTATAAATTGTATGTAATAATTTTTATCATTTTGTAACCTAACCTCATTTTATGAAAATGTATGTAAAAATCTTGCCAGCTTAGACGCTGAGCGAGCATATTCTCTAATATGCCCCAACATAACATTCGCCCTTCTAATAATAGTAATATATATAATAACATATGCTTGTTAATAAAATAAAAAATATGACTGCTATATTTCTATTTATTATATTTCAAAACAAGATTATTTCTTTAGATTTTCTTAAAGTTAATTTATATGAACACAAAATATACTGCTTTTTGAGCTGGAAGCACTAAAATGCAACTACAATTCTTATTTAGATATGTTTTTTTTGTTTTTTATATATAAGAATAAGTATATTTATGTACTTATACTTATAAAATCTATACATATTTTATATATAAATAAATTTATTACTGTGCTTCATGGTTTTTTCAAAATAATACGAAAATAGCAGCCAAATTTTTCAAACATTGGCGAATAGCCAATAATAAATTATAAACTAAAATAAATACGTGCTTAACAATATGCAACCGATTTTTTTTTCGTTTATTTCGAAATTAAATATGTTGTCATAATATAATTAATTGAAATGTATGATTAGATTTGTATCTTTAACATAGCTAACTTAACCATTTAGCATAAATACTTACTCATTATCTTCCTCCTCTTTTTTCTTGGGCTGATAGTTTTTCACTAGTCGTCTGTGAAGCAGTTAAGAGAAGAAAGAAAATAAATTAATTAATTAAACTTATTAATTTTATTATATATCAATAAAAACAAATTAAGTGAAATTTATGCTAATAATTAATTTAAATAATAAATTTAATTTTTTAAATAAATTAAATTATATATTTTCATATTTTTTTTATTTTGCTTTTTGTGTTGCAATGCAGAGTTACGTATTTAATGTTTTATTTTTTTTTTGTTTTGATTTTGAAAGTTAAGAAAAAATTAATGGAACATGAAATCTTTACTATGTAAAAAGCATCATAAAACAAAAAAGTTATTAAAAATGCATAAACGCAATAATAATAATAGAAAAAAAATAATAATTTTTAGTTGAGATATAGAAAGTAGACAACTTTTAGTGAACTTATTTATGAAGATGGAAAACAATATACAGCAGTTAACTGCAGAAATTGTAGATTTTTGTGGTCTACCAGATTTAATCATGGGAATTTCTTATATGTAAGATTCATAGTCACTTGAAATACACAATAAACGCCGCTATATGGTGAGGTAAAAAAAGCACTCAGTTGAATGCAAATAAAAACAAAGTTTATAGTGGAGCTTAGATGAGCGAAGTCGACAGTGCCACCACAAATGTTTATGATGATGTTCGAGTCGTTATAGTATATGAGTAAATCAGATACAAATGGAGACAACATTTTATGCAGTCAAAATGACAAACTACAGATTAGCATATACTTAGGGCAACTGAAGTCACACGCTAACTTGAGCTTGAGAAAATCTCAAAAATCTCATCATCACTGCAAGATGAAGAGTTGCTGCAATCTTAACAATTTGCGGATTAGTGGATGGCTTGCTTGCGGTTATCTCGAGCAAGAAAACCTTCAGTAAAGTAAAATAATATTAAAAAAAAAATAAATAATTCAAAGATTGATAAGATAAGTTGACAATGTTTCCGGATTGTGAGAAATGACACTTTAAGTAAAACGATATACAAAGTGTAGAAATAAATATGTAATTAAAGCAAAGTAGAATTTGAAATAAAGTCTAAAGTACTTTCACCCTCAATGCGATGTACTTATACTCGTAAGTTACTCAAGTAGCAGAAAAATACACTAAAAATTAAAACTGACCAAATCATAACACAACAAATTTGTGGCAATGTGTAAAATGAAACCCCCTTGGTATAATCACATTACAAGTTGTTGTGGCTTATGGAGGGAGGCGTTAGCTAGCACTAACCCATTGTAAATAGGGGCGCAGAGAAATAATAGAAATAATAGAAACAAAAGTGTAAAAGTGTCGCATGTGTAAAGTGTGTCAGCAAAGTGTCGGTACCAGCTCTTCAAAAGACAACATCACACAAATGCCAGCACATAATTTATCTGATTCTATGAGTGCGAGCAAATTGGTGCCATTTATTAACGTATGTTTTAAGTGAGACATATTAACACGAAACTTCAATAGGAGAACATCAGCAACAGGCCGACTTTCCAGACTAACATTAGAGAACTTTTATTCTATTAATAATAGAATGACAAATGAATACACATGCTTCGGTAACTGCTAAAGGTGTGTTTAATTGCAAAAATTTCACATTTAGCAAAAATATTTAACTTTGCATTACTACAATATAATCATAACAAATGGAACTTATATTCGTACATGTAATACTAAGAATTATAGGCGTGTATAGGCGACCCATTGCTGATAAGTTTTTAATTAAATAAAATTATAAAATTTGTTATTTCATAACTTAGTTTAATTAAATAAGTTTACTTTCATTTTGAGAAAGGTCAGTTTTTATGAGGATAGTTTATTAAGATTGATGTTACATATATATTTCAGTGGTTTAATAAATAAATGTGGGTTAAGATAACAACGCAAAAAGTTTGTTTAGCACTGACAAGCCCTATTTGAAGGACTTTATAACACGCCTCGTACTAACAGCTTTTAAATCTTATTTGTTCTATCTTTATATTTACACACCTTGTACGTGTTTAAAAAAAACACAACAATAATTAGAGAAACAAAAATTCTAAAACATTAAATCTATGGATTAATGTTTAACTTTCAGCTACGAATATATAATAAGTTTGGCCATTAAAATATCCAGAATGATGGGTGATCATAACAGAAAACTATCATAGATGAGTCTTCTAACTTTTAGCTACATTGTTTGAAATAAGTTTGACGATTGAAAGAACTTATGAATTTTGATCTGGACTGCAATAAAAAACTGTTATTACATATAAAAATAAATTTTAAATAAATACAATATGGTAGCTTATGTTAGACGCCTAATGGAAAAAAAATCCCCTCTCCCAATAATTTATGTTGTAGTATTTATGTGATCCGGATAATCTTGATTCAAAAGCTACCTTTATCGCTTATATTACTATAATTTCTTTTGAGAATTTAATGAGGCTTCCAATATCAGTTTGGAATAGTTTTTCGAAGTCTACATAAAAAGGTTTTCTAAGATTTGTAGCGCTACTTCAATAGATGAGAGCTTTGCAATTCTTCCATTTCTTTTTGGAAAAGAGCGCAAAGCTATGATAAAATAAATTTATATACTACAGTTAATAACAAGATTTTGCTTTAAATTATATATTCGCAAAAACAGTTCAGAACGAAATGCCATGGATTCTTTTTGTTATTAAAAACCCGTTTTGCTATACAATAAAACAATTTTAACTATTAAATTACAAATTAAATTATTTCATTTTCATTGAAATAGAAGAAAAACTTATATTATGCAGTAAAAAGAGTGATGGCAAAATGTTTTATATTGCGCAGTAATCATGTTAAGAATGCTATTCTAAAAACATTAATTAATATAAGTATTACAGACTTTGTCAAATCACAGATATTAAGTATGTCTTCTCTTATTTAGATGTCTACATATCAACTGATAACAACTATCAATAAGACATACAAAAGAGACAAATAAAAGCTAGGGAAACATTTGGAGCCCGTAACATAATGTGAAAATGGAACATCTCATTTTAAATAAGATTATTTCCTTTTTTTATATGACAGTGAAATTTTATTAATTATTCTATCAGTTATGAGTATTTTGACCACCAATCAACTAGTTATGGTTCAAAACAAGAGAATGATCAATTACTAGATCAATAATTATATAATAGTGAAAGTGGTCCATTCCACTTATTTATTTAGTCTTTGACTTATATTACGAGTGTTCTTCCACATACCAAACACTAAATAATGTAACTACGAGCCATCAATTATTAAAAACAAAATTATTCAAAAAACATAAAGATAAAGTAAAGGAAAAAAATTATTAGTATGTATGAGAAAAACTGAGAGAACCTTAATTTTAACATTCACGAAGAATATTAGAAGTTTGCATAAAATAATATGTGTTGTAATAAATGTTTGTCACTACAACTGTACTTATTTAAACAGAAAACATTTTGCATTAGGTATAAGGATCAGAGAATTACAAGAAAATTTTCCTTCTAATAAAAGAAGTACCTTCCTCTTCTATCTACAACTTGGCAATAGCAAAAGCAAAGCACTTAAGTTATGTGCAACTTCCAGATTAACACGGTGCACCTATAATAAAAACCATAATACATTTTCTCTTTGAATGCCCGTCTTTAGCGTCCAGGTGATATAGGTTCTTAGGAAGATACTTCTTTGATAGAATATCAGACTGTTCATCGGTGAAGATGAAAGACCTATTAAATTATCTAAATTCAGTGGGATGGATTTAGTCTCTACTTTTCTTACTAGGGTTCTTGCGAAGAATGTGATAGCAAAAAGGTGAAAAATCGCTAATTAAGGTACATGGACGTTATTTAATGGCTTGCCACTGCAACCAACCAACCAACCACCAGAGCAAAGGGTAATGACGACGAGGGTAATCACAAAAAAATAAGAAAATTTCACTCATTTTCTGGCTATGGCAGTTTTCTATGATATCGGATAACTCCATCTTGGTAAGATAGTAAGGCCGATTATCTGCACTAACATACTATCGATTTTTTTTACTGATTTTTTGTATTGAATCGAAAACACAGAGTACAGTTTGAAAGAATGAAAATTTTAAAAAGTTTTACTACTTTTCGATACCAAAATATCGTTTAAGGAATTGTTATTACTTTTTTGCCTTCGTTCGTATTAAAATCAAGGCATAATATATTACACAGAAATTTATTACCAAAATAATATCAATATATGCGATTCAATAAATAATTAATTATTAATTGAAAAACTTTTGAATAAACCTTCAAATTGAAAATTATTTACATAAACACGAACCTAATCAGTTCTGGTTAATTAAATAATTTACCTCAACAATAAACAATTACCATGCAAAACAGCATTTACACTATTCTGATAATGAATGAGATAGTATATCGAATGTAATTCTTAGTTTCGGTCCATTCGGAGCATTTAATTTTTAAGTCAGTTAAGTCAGCCGCCGCTTTATTCGCGAGCTCAAATGCAATTGAGCTTGCGCTTGAACGTGTTGCAAGAGAATGTTCAAGTCAATTACTAAAGCTACTTCGGAAGGGGGACTTGAAGGTTAACAACCAAAATTAAATTGGCCTTTGGTTTTTTACTTTAACATTATTTTCTTAAGCGTTTTTATTTACAATGATTTTTTTTCTTGCTATTTTCAAAAAGGCATGAGCGGTCGACATCACTAAGTATCAAGTGAATGATTGACAGCTTTCAGTGAGTACATTCATGATGTGAGTACGTATGTAAGTAAATTAAAGTACTCATATCAGCATTTCTGCTAGTTTATGTGGTAACACTTAATTCACTTAAAATTAGAAAAAGAAATCACATTTCGTAAAGATACGCTTTTCTATTTATAGTGCCTATTACATGCTTCTAGAACGGAAGCAATATTAAGAACTTACTAAATAATTTATTTTTGAATAGTTGGTTTAAAAAAAAAATTAAGACTTCTTAATAAACATTTTGATAAAATGTTTAATATGCAGGCACGTTTAATATATGCAACAAGAAATAGCACAAGATGTAGGCGTTTATCTCTTTGTGAAATATATCAACGGTAGCGCTATAAAATTTTTCGGACCCAGCACCATACAAATAACTGAAAAAGAGCAGTGCCACATGACCTTGCACTCATTTTGCAAAGAATTTTGTTACTTAAACAGAAAATTTATTTTCACATACATATAAAAAGGAGAACATTTATAACTAATGACAAAAGATATCCATAAAGTGATAATTATAAATTTTTTTCATATGATCGTGTCAGCTGCAGCTGCTGCGAAACGTTGTGTTCTGGTCCAAATATGGGATTGGTTGGCTTGTCTGAGTTATGAGTAACTTTTTTACTATATCCAGTTGTTGTGATTCGCTAATTTTAAGACCATACATTCTATAGCATAAGGCGCCATTCAATGTTTTCGCACAAATGTGAGCAATACTAATATGGTCAGGTCAACTCTGTCAAAGCAATCGTTTAAGACATAATTTTGGATATTTGAATAAAATATTTATGGACAAAGCAAGTTTGGAATGATTACCAAATTACTCTGAAGTAAAAAACTGTTCACAATAATGTGATTCGATCTCTTTAAGAGGAATATATACATTAATTACTAATATTAATTATATATACAATAATTTAATTGTAAATATTTCATAGAACAAATATATCATTATATTTTTGGAGAAAATAATCCGTTATTCACTTTTTATTGAGGCAAATACATTAGATTTTCTATTTTGTTTTTAGTATTTAATAAACTCTTTACATATGTGTATAACATCAAAATTCCAAACTTTGAAGAAAGCAACTTCAAATAACTTTAATACCTAAATTATAATAGATTAAACTGCACAAAATCAAGAAATTTGATCGACCAGACGGTTAGGAATTGAATTTGAATTTCAAAACCCATTATTGTTCCTAAAATTTAGCAGATTGCTTAAAATAATTAATAAAAAAAAGTTGGTATTTCAGAATTTCAGAAACCAACTTTAAACCGCTCTTACTTTAAGCAATAATGGTATCACCTAATAACAACTGATATGTTATTATTGTTTAGAAGGATGCATTAGGGAGAAAACTCATACATTTTAGTCTTCTAACAAAAATTTTGTAATACTCATAATAGAATATCGTGTGTGTGATAATACCGGTTTATTTACGCTGAATCGCGTTTAATGTGAATTCGATATACGAATATCTTAGATCACGAATTATAACCATGTTATATCAAACTTGCAATGTTGTATGTTGATGCTTGTAGAAAAATAATTTTGCAGCAGAATCGAGTTTGGAACATTTAAACCACAAACTCACCTCGGGATACCATTGGAAAACAAATAGCATCACGACTGAACATGCCTAAGACACTTAAAAATACTTAAAGAGGAGTTTCAAATATACAGATTTTACAGATTTGAAATAAAGATTTGAAGATTTGAAAAAGAAAACACAGAAAACAATATAGGTTCTGTCATGTCTATAAAAAAAATTGGCTTATTAATTAATATCAATAAGTATAATAAACAAGTATATTTAACAAGTATTATATGAAAAATTGGACATTATGATAGTTTGTGTCATCATAATAATTGATTGTCATACACATCGTAGCGTCAAGATTAATGCCAATTTTTAACGCGAAAAAATATTTGGAATCTGCTTTAAAACCATGGGAAACCAAAGGTTTCAGTAGGAGAAATTAAACGTTTCTACAATATTCTGTATATGCCAACCAACAATGGATGACAGATAACACTTCATATACATAATTCGTAATTTAAATAATGTTTTATTAAAAGATTAAAAAACGTGACTATAGTTTTGGATACTTTCAAACAATTATCGACAGTGGTCTTTAGAAATATTTATGGGTTTAATTGTCCGTATATTATTTTAAAAAGTGCCAGATATATAACCCTGTCAAATTTAAAACTGAGTTCATGTCGCACTTTAATTACGTTGTTTCAATTTGGAGTTTTATTGTTTTGTTACTATATCTAAAACAACAAAATACTTGCTATACTATGAGTAGTTAAAACTCATAAACCACAGCTATATTTATAAATATACTTGATTAATAATTAATTCTTTTTTTAAACATAAACGTTACTGTTTGTACAAATCATTTGATTTATTTTGCTGGCATTCTGTAAAACTTTTTAAGGCGTTTTTTTTGCAAAATAAATTTCTGAATTATAGAAAACTTTCTATTAATAGATTAAATAAATAATATATTTGATTTTTTTTAATAATACTAACCTCAACTTCGCTGCATATTCTGATTCTATCGCTAAGCGATCTCTGATGAAATTGCCATATTTGTCCAGAAATTCAATGCCTTTGTTTGTGTGTATTGATAAGTTTTCGTATTGATCCTGCAAGATAAAGAAAAAATTAATAAATTAAATTATATCATTTTTAAATTATAAAAAATATATCAGTAACTAGTTACTGAACTCGTTATTCGTAATAACCACTATTTATATCACAAATATATAAAAAGATATAAACATCTGATGTATGCGCTTGCTTATTAAATTAGTTTCTAATTAGATGTGTACTAATCTATCATACACTCACTGTATCATGATGAATGAATTGATAAAATCGAAACCAGTATTCTTGGCTGTATTCAGTAAAAAATAAAATATTTTATATATAAAATTAAAAATCCACCGACTCTAGTTTAATTATAAATATATTTTATTATGTAATGATTTTTAGCTGCCATATTTTAATATTTAACAGATGTTATAAGCAGAAGCATATGTATTAACGAATTGTATATACAACAACAATAAATATATTTATATTATTTATAAATATACATTGTTGGTCACTTTTATAAATAAACACCCTGTACGTCTTATATGAATTATAAGTAATATAAAAATAAAATTTTCCATCAAATGCACATCTTTTAGTCATAATTTTCAAATAACGCGTATTTTCAAATAACGCGTTATAATATTAAGCAAAAATAAAAAAGATTTTCCTTAAAACTTTATTTTGATTTTCTTTTGACTTTTTCTAAAATATTTTCAAATATATTTTCGAGTATATAAACAAAAATAGCATAGCAAATTTTGTTGGTATGCTTTTGTTTTTGAATCCAACTCTTTCCAGTTTGTATCTAATTGTGCTAAATTAATTTCTTCGTTATTCATGAGATAAGAATAATTAAAAAAAATAAATAAAACAATTAATTGCGTTTAAATTAAAAGAAACTGCGAATTTGTATTTAAGAAAATTTTCTTTAATAAAGAAGTTCAAATTGAGAATAGATAAAATTTTCAATTAAAAATATCGTTTTAATTTTTTGGATCAAAATTTTATTTGGTTTCTACATTAACTGATAAATCACACAAACGGAAGTAGAAATTGAATATACATTTATCGAATAAAATGTATAGATAATAAATAGATTTTTTAATATATGAATCATTTAAAACGGGAATACATATACTCTCTGTGCTAAAATTATTACTTTCAGAAGAATATTTTGAATTGTTAAAATTTTAATTAATATACAGTCATATAACACTTAACACTGTTGTTAACATTTGGATTAACAGACGAAAATAAAAATCATATTTGCTTTTATCATCTTTTAGAGGAGCCGTGGATTTCTACATTTCTCTGTTTCGACTGATGCTACTCGAACATAGATCAGACGCCTGCAAATCAGCATCAATTGCGTACTACTGCTTTTTTTTGTTATCACTTTGTCACAAGTAGTTGAAGAGACAGTATTTTAAGACAGTAGTTGAAGAAAGTAGTTGAAGACAGTAGTTGAAGACAGTAGTTGAAGACAGTAGTTGAAATTAAAGACAGTAGTGAAAATTGAAGATTCAATGCTTAAAATAAAAATCCAATGCTTAAAATAAAATATTACTTACTATATTTAATGAAATGACAAGAGGTTTTATTTAATTTCTTCTGCTTGATTAATGACATTCAAATACCATTCTTTTTTGCGATCTGTAAACTTATTGTTGCGCCTAGTATATACTGTAACAAATCTACAGATATAGAGATATTCTCCGACTATTTCTACAGATATCCTACGTACGATATCCTGTCTGCATATTCATGTGCTCAACAGTTGTCACTTAATTTAATATGTCGTAATTTGAAAAATTATAGAGTCAGTTGTAAAAATATTATTTGTTTAAATTAATATATCTAATTGTATTATAATAAAATATACTAAATAAAATGCTCTTATTTAGTAATCACAACATATTATTTTATGAAGACCGACATTTATCGAAATTCTTCAGATGTTTCTATAATTCTTCTGTTTGTATAGAACAATTTTAGTATTAGTAATATACCAAATATTATTTATATAAATTAAAGAGGTTTTTTGAACAGTATTGAACTACAAGAACCAAAATTGATTTTATATTATTTTAATTAATTGAATTTTTGGCTGACCATACAGCTGTTTCGAGTATTGCCAAATATCCATCATCAGTGGTGTTGGAAATAATTCTTCTATTTAATTACTCGTAATTTGAGACTGCAAGTACCAAGAAAAAGACTCGTGTCCTACCAAATTTAAAGCATAGAGTCAGCGCACCTTAACCAACTGACCCAAAGCCGTACTTGACTTTTATATTCGCACATTTTTCTTGAGTTTTGTTACTTTGCTGTGAAAGTTTTATTAACAAATTCACTTGCTATGTTTATATTAGAACGAAATCATAAACCGTTGTTTAAATTAGTATTTCTACTTATATTATATAAAAATATACTAAATAGAATGTTTTCATTTGGTAATCATGCCAAGCATTTGATTTTTATGGAGATGTCGAAATTCTTCAGATGTTTCTATAATTTTTCTGTTAGGTATTCATAAGTAGTTCTTTTGAAAACTTAAATATAATTTATCAAGTATAGTATAATAGGATGATAATATTAATATTAGGAATGCTCCTGATGAAGGCAAAGGCGAATTTGCCGAAACATGTGTAGAGATATACAAAATACAACATAGGAAATAAAACTTAAAATATTAAAAAAAAACCGACTTTATAGTATTATACTTGGCAAACAAATACACAACTTTTATATTTCATAAATTAAAAAGTTTTGGGCTGCCGTGAATTAATTATTTCTATAAGAAATTATATTTTTTTTTCAATCTTTATATTGTGAAAACATATTTTCTCATAAAAGTAGCTATAAAATCAAAAATAATTACAATTTTAATTTACAGCAAATTATAAAAATTATAAGAATTAAAAAAACAAACAAATTGAAACAATATCTCAACCATATGTTTAAACATAATGATTAAAAAAACAAAATTAAATAAACAAAAAAGCAAAAAATTATATGTAAAAATGTTCAAAAAAAAAAAATTGCTTAGAAAGCAAACAAAACAACCTGTTCGCATTTCGGTCTTTAAAGCATCAACAGCACAACAATAAGAAAATTTTAATTTTATTTTCGACTTCATTTTAAGTTGTCTAAAGAAATACGAAATACTTGCGACACTTTGTATCTACTAAAAATGCGGCGTTCACACAGATACGCACTCGCACTCACACCGCCACAATCTTATGACATAATGACGCATAGTGCATTGAGCTTTATGTGCCAAATTCGTAGTATTTTTATTTTCATGTAAAAGTAAACATTCATTGGCAACATTAAAAACGTGTTGCTCTGATTTTGTATTTTCTATCTGCAACATCGTGTGTATCTTTTTTCTTCTTTTTTCTTTCCTCTATTATTGCTGTAACCGTTAGTATGTCAATCTTTAACAAATTACAATATTCAATTGAGGCTTTATTTTTGGGTTTTAGTATTGTAGCCCAAACAAAATAAACGAATTAGTGTTGTGTTGTGTTGTGTTGCTGCTGCTGCCGCTGCTGCTGCCTCCCACAAATAAAAATGCCAAGTAACTACGCAATCTTCGAGATTCGCCTTCGCTAAATACAATTGAGGAGTTCGGTACTTAGTTGCGTTAAGCATGCGCAAAATAAACAATTTGCATGCGCAGCTACGGCGTACCGCAATTACGTATTGACTTCAACCAACAGATAATTATCATTAACTTCATTATCTACAACTTCATCGTCATTAACATCAACCATGTTGCGTATTTTGACGTTTAAATCCCGCGCGCATCGCGATAAATAACAAATTGTTGTGAATTATGCAATTAGTGGTGTTCCTCTTGTTTTTATAATTTTTTATTTCTTATTTTATTTAAAATTATTTAATTTTATTTGTTAAGTTTACGTTTTTTAGGTCTTTCGATTTTGCTTCGGGGCTCACATAAACGCCAGATGATTTTTAAATAAGATTTTATTTAATATGTTTTACCAAACATTTTGACTTTGTAAATTCGGCGATTGTATTAAAAACAAATCTAAACAGAAGATTGAAGGTCTCCATTTACAAGTACAAGTGCTTGTATAATTTGCATAATTTGAAACGATTATTTTATTGACACAAATTAAATATATATAATATACATAAATGGATTTAGTTCAATAACATATCGAATAAAAAAAAGAAAAATTTATACAACTAAAATCATCCTTAGGCTGTATGCGAGTTCAAGCAAATTGAGGTAAAATAAATTGAAATTTCCTAAATATAAATATTTATATTATTATTTAAATATTATTATATTTAAATATATTTATTTATTGCATTTATTTTTTATTTTTGGTCAAAAGTTTTCAAATTTTTTTATTTATTTATTAAACATCTTATAAACATTTCACAATGATAACACCTAATTTACCTAATTTTTATCTAATTTACCCTACTCGAAATTCTGATAAATACCAACATTATAAAATAAAATAAATACCAAAATTATTTACTATTAACCTTAATTTACCATCAATTTACTTGAACTCGCACACGGTCTTAACATTAAAAAAGTATGAGCTAATGGTATCGAAAAATATAAAAAGAAAATTTATAAAGACAGTTTTCTTATGACCACGTTATACAGGGTGTCTCGGGCACATCATGAGCTAAATTGTTGTTGTTTTCAAAGCAAATTAAAAAATTGAGATTGAAAAAAAAACAATATGTCGGTTCAAATTCCATCAAATTTTTTTTTCAAACCAAATGGGTCAAAAAGATACCATTTCTGTACAAAAAAAAGGACTAATTTTTTGCTATTGTCTTTTAATAAGAAAATGACATATATATAAAATGTACAGAAGATATGGAACAGTATAAATCTTTTTATCCATAACTAAATTATTATTCAAATAATCGAACTATCTTTTACTGACCATATCTTTTTTAGTCCTTTGCATAACACAATATTATTTAAGATCAAAAAATCCATTCCGATCGAAATTAGCTTTTACCTTTTGCACTCGCAACATTTTTACTA